CTCATTTGTTTAGGATTGACTTCCACTGTTCTAGTTAAACAGTTCAACTAAAACATCATTAGTTCAACTTTTTTTTATTTTCTTTAGTCCAACTTATTTAAATATTCTTTTTTGTTTCTGCATTTTTTTTATTTTATGTATTTACTTTTTTTCCTACTTGCTTTGATTCTTTTTTATTTTCCTGTATTTTAATCATGTAAAGCACTTTGCATTGCCTTTGTACTGAATTGTGCTATACAAATAAATTTGCCTTGCCTTGCCTTGCCTTACCAAAAGCACAAGCAGTGGTTGTCTGACTTTGATTCAGATGACCCCGTTTCAACCCCCCTCCAGCCCCTCCTCCACCCTCGTAGGTAAAGCTTCATCAGAGTGTCAGTCCTCCTTGACTCTTACTGCATTTTGTATCTCATTTCAACCGGTCCGGCAAAAGACCACCATGTTGAGCCTGGTTCTACCAGAGGTTTCTTCCCAATGGGTTTGTTTTCCTCTCCACTGTCACTTCATGCTTGCTCATCATGGACAGGTTCTCTCAACCTGTGTTATCCAACTGACCTTCCATCTTCCAGGTCCCTGAGTGAAGCACTAGTATCAGCTCACGCAGTCCACTGGATCTCTCCATACGGCTCAAGCAGACCGTCTCGCTAACCAGCAGTCTACAGACTGACCAACTTCATCTATCTCCATAGATCTATCACCAGTTTCAGGCCTGGGGGGGAATCTTTCCTGCTCTCTACTCCTGTTTATGTATATCAAAATAAATTCAGCGCTAATATTTTCTGTCTGTCCATCAGTATCAGTAATTGTATCAATAAAATTCTTCTAATTGTCTTTTTCTTTCCGTGTGAGTTTTTTCAGATTGAAATGCCCTTTACCATGTTTGATTTAATTATTAGAGATGCAAAGATCCAATAATTACATCCTTAAAGGTCACGATATTTAAAATAATTTTTGAATGGATATTGGTGAAAATGAGCCCATACCTTAGTGGTAGATCACTTGAACTCACTTATAGTAAACTTGTCCTCCAACCCTGGGGACCTAGAACTTCTCCAGAAATACCATTTTAGCCACTCATAAAAAAAAAACGTGTTATTTTGATCATAATCTAGAACCTGATGACACTTAAGGCAAGTAAAGGAGCTTTGGTTTAGCTATTTTTACACCACCAGAGATAGGGGTAAAGTTTACATTACTGGATGTGAGGTTCCAGTTTTTTCCTTCCATTTCTCCTTCCTACAGTCAAGAAAAGACTGACATAATATTAATATAATAAAAATCATTTATCACCTCTGCTTTAGGCAGAAACTAAACCCAGACCAGAGGTACAGTAGCTATAGTTGTTTTTGTTTTGAGAACCATGCATACATCCATGCTTAAGGTCATGGCCTGAAGTTCCATAAAAAAAAAACACCGTCCTCAAAAGTCAAGATAAAACCCCAACGTTTTCCAACCAGTTTGCAGATCAGACTCTGTCCTTGAACAC